CATTGGCAAACTTTTTTTCCTCTCTCTCTCTCTCTCTCCAAGTGATGATTGCTTTGGTTTTTATACCATATATTTCACGGATAAGTTTCAATCGGTTTTTTTGTTGTTGTTTTTTACACAACATTAGTATTTCCTCAGCTTATACTATATATAGATAAGTAGCTGTCGTCCATCATATAAATGTGTGGCCATTGTTTGATACAATCGGTTTGATGTTTGCGCCAAATAAAAACTATTGTTTTTTTATATTAAACAAAAAATTGTTATTATAAAAAAAATTAGTGTAAAACATGTTGATTTTGATGACACAAAAATAATTAATTTATAATTCTAATATTTATTATTAAATTTTCTAACAAAATTTAGATTTATTTAATATATATATATATACACACAGTAGTAATGTATATATAAATAATTGACAAATTAGTTATGACAACAAATTTTTGTGTCTACTTTTATGTATGTATGTGTCACTAGAGCTAAACGTTAAGTAAATAAATGTGAAACACACAGAAAAAAAATTATATATAGATTTATATATCTATAAAAAAAATTGATAGATTGTATGTGTAAAGGCATTTGAACCCCAAAATAATATATATATAGTAAAACACAAACTAAATAAACATAATTTTTTATGAGTACTTATTTATATTATATATATATATATATATATATGTTTTATTTGTTGATTGACTGTTTTTTCACTATTTATTTTTCCAATAGTTATATATATATATAATGAACTTATCTCATAAAATATATTGTGTTGTTATTTTTAGTAACTTTATTTAAAATTCAACCCCATTGATTAAATAGTGAATTACAAAAAAATAATGAAAATATATATATATATATATATGAGTGTGTATGTGTATATATATATGTGTGTGTATATATATTTATTTTTTATTTTAGTTTGTTTAATCAAAAATAAAAGTATCATAGATATATAATACATATAAATTTTATATATATTGATTAAAAAACAAAATTATTTTTTTTTAAAAAAAACTTATATACTGTATAATTTTTTTATTTAAGTTTAATTTAGTATAGATTTACATTACAATTTAATATAATAGTATTTTCTTAATTAGCTATTATATTGCTGAATTGCCTGTTATATTAATAGATAACAATTTAATCTATTTTTTCAAAAACAAATTTTTAGTTGAATTTTTTTTTCATTTGTTATAAATAGTTTGATCACACAAAATGTGGTCAAAAGAGTAAGTGATTATTATGAGTGGGTGGGTGTGTAATAGAGAGTGAGAGAGAGAGAGAGAKAGATTTTTTTTGATAAAAAATTTCTTTTTATGTCCCGATTGTAAATCATTTTAATGGTCAGCTAATCGACATTCACGAGCCGTTACCACCACTTATATAGTATATTATGTGAGATGGGATGCCTAACAAAACACATACACACTTACATACAGACACTACTGGAGTTAGTTTATACAGTATATAACTGTGCTCTATATTTATAGCCTTCTAACAACTAAATACATGTAGTAGTAGTAGTAGTAGTAGTAGTAGTAGTACTGCAACTACTATTGATAGTAATAGTGGTAATCGTTTTAAAGTTTATTTTTCACTCGTGTCTTGACTTTAGTGTATTATTTTTTTCTGCCGAACTATTCATTTGTATTATATATAAGAAATTGAAATAAAATAAGAAAAAAAATATAATCTTATATATGAAGTGAAAAATTTTTGTTTGAATTTCTATAATATACAGTATATATATATTGGCTACATATTGACTGACTGTTTTGGATACTATATTTTATTTTATAAATATATAGATATATAGTATATAATGTTATATAAGTGAATATATATATATATATATAAATTACAGTATATTAAATACATAGTGTATAGTATCTAAAAAGCTTTAGATATATTTGTTATAATATTAAACAGATTATGTACTCATAGTATATACAATACTCATTGAAATATTATAGTATATCACAAAACAATATACCATACAATGAAAAATACAACATTTTTTTGTTGGTTTTGTTTATTTGTTTGTTTGTTTGGATTATGTTATATAAATCAATGATCCGTATAATAATTATATTAATAATATTACTATAAGAAAATGAATCTTTTTTTTGTTGTATTATTATTTTTATTATTTATGTTTATTTATTTTTTTTTGTCTTCAAAAAATTATTATATTAGTCAACATAGAGAGAGAGAGAGAGAGAGAGAGAGAGAGAGAGAGAGAGAGAGAGAGAGAGAGAGAGAGAGAGAGAGAGAGAGTGAGAGAGAGAGAGAGAGTGAGAGAGAGAGAGAGAGAGAGAGAAATACAGTAAATACTTGATATATATAAACACATTGTTATATCATTTTTTAAAGTATTGTCTTTCGCATAATAGTCGGTTTAAATCAATGGTAAACAATGTTATAATAATATTGTATTAGTGTTTTATATTATATAATATATTATACGATATATATATATATTAAGCCATATAAAAAAATTGCAAGAATAAATTCTGTTATTTATTAGTTTCAATAATAATAATAAAAAATAAATATTTTTCAAACATTTTTTTCTGTTCACATTATTTTTAAAAAAAGAAGATTTGTCTGTATTAATGAATAATGTATTTTAATTTATTTACATTTTCTTTTCATAAGATTAAAGTTGATTTTTGCAAATATTTAAAAAAAAAAGTTTATTATAGATATATATATTTTTAATTTTGATTTGATATATATATATACATATTTTATATTATTTTTTTCATTCATATTGTCATTAATTCACTATATTTAATGTTTAAAAGCCATAAATATTTATAAAGTATTGTAGATATAATATATATATATATATATATATATATATATATATATATTATACAGTAAATTTATATATAAAAAATTGAAATCTCATTATACTCTCTCTAAAAAAATTTATATGAAATAATTCAATAAATATTATCAATAGATATAACATATATTTACTGTACTAAAATTTATATATATATATATATATATAATACAAGTGATGGTCAATCATTGAAATTGAAAATACATTTTTTCTGAGGCTTATAATCTAATTTTGTTTGTCATCGCTATTAAATGTCATACAAGTATATATATAAAAATAAAATAAAAATCGTTGAGTATAGCAAAATACACAAAAAAAAAGATATTTATTCAATAAAAGTTCAAATAATATACTAAAATATATACACACAAAAAATCATATCAATTCAATAAAAAAAATACTACTACTGTAATCAAAATATATAAAATTATTTTTCAAAAAATAAAATCATTTGTGCATAAATAAATTTTTTTAGATATAATTTATACAATATAAGATATTGCTTTAATTTATTATCAATAGTTTTTACATAATTTTATTTCAACGATACGTTAGAGTATACTAATGATAATAAATGATTATTTTGTTTTTTATTATTATTATTATTATTATTACTACTACTGCTAATACTACTACTACTACTACTATATTATAATTACAAACGATAACTATTGTGTTATCTTAGTATACACTATAGTGTATATATATATAAACTATATTAGTTAGGAGACACAGACACATATCATATTATTTTTATATATATTATATATATGTTATGGACATGACTTGTATTTTTTATATACAGTAATACTTGTCATAAACTATACACTTCATTGTATGACAGGGTGAGAGAGAGAGAGAGAGAGAGAGAGAGACAATATCCATGATTTATATCCCCCGTTTTTACAATGATTGCATGCACGGGGTTTTGAGAGAGAGAGAGAGAGAGAGAGAGAGAGAGAGAGAGAGAGAGAGAGAGAGAGAGAGAGAGAGAGAGAGAGAGAGAGAGAGATGCAGACACCGGGAGATCTGTATTCACAATGACCTGTGTTTGTGTATGTGATTTGGAGGACAACCAGCATATACTGTATGGCAATAATAATTTTGTGTCTATCCTCTTTTTTTATATTTTGAATAGTCTGTCCACTCAAACAAACACATACAATGTGTAAGGGTTTGAGTAGTAAATAATAGGACACACATATAAACAATTTTTCACAATCAAAATCCCCAAATCGATATCAATCGTATACTAATAATATATATATATATATATATATATAATATATATTATAGTTATTTTTATATGTTTATAGTTAAGCATAGAAAAGAAGACTTATTTGGTATTACAATCAAACAACAGCACCACATAATGTATAGACAGGAATAGACATATATAGTATATATATATATATATATATATATATATATATATATATATATATATATATATATATATATATATATATATATATATATATATATATATATTATAACATACCAGTTCTGTATTGTACAGTACATACAGAATATACAGAGACAACATGTTTATCACCCGTTAGGATATACAGTACAACAACAACAACAACAGCAGTCATCCCAAAGAAATGTTAAATAAATGTATTGAATTGATCCAAATGTCTATAATTTTGGTGTTACTTTTATTTATGTTATGTTAGATCTCTCTCTCTCTCTCTCTCTCTCTCTCTCTCTCTCTCTCTCTCTCTCTTATTATCTATTTTTTTGCTACTCGTTCATCACACTCACACACACACACACACACACACACAYACACTAGCAATAACATACTGTCCATATATTATTTTTATATATATTACAGGTATATATAAATCTATATATTATGTCCAAAAATAACTAATTGAGTTACTCAGACTGAGAGAGAGAGAGAGAGAAATAAAACTAATTTTGTTTAGTTATAGTTATCTATTGTATACTATATATATATATATATATGACATCATAAACTTAACGCTGTAATCATATATTTGCTTAATTTTTATTTTGTTGTTGAAATAAAAATATATTTAAATCATTTAACAGTATATACAGATTTAAAAAAACTGTTCAGATAAAACATTATGTTTTTTTTATTAATTATTAATTATTAATATTTTTATCGCAGGACATCCATACACTAAATCTGAGTGAATTTCAATACATTCAGACTAATATAACTGGCCTTACATTACTTGATCCGAGGGGACAGGAGATCGGTTACGCACAGAGAGATTGGATAACTGGAAAAGTGCATTCAGCCGTCAAAAAAGTCGTACCGGTATATTATATTATTCAATATATATTATGACAAACATATATATATATATAGGGTAGCTAAAGGGGGGGGGTAGGGGGTAAAACCTCTTACCCCCTAAGATCGAGAATTTTTGGATCTTACCCACAACCCCTGACCTGAAGTCAAAAAGTTAGGGGGTCTATACCCCCAAACCTTTTCGAGTTTTTTTTACCATTATTACCCCACCCTATATCCCCCTAAAATCGAAAACCTTTATCATATATATATATATATATAATGATGAATACAATTATCATTATTATTATATTTTTTTTAAAAATAAATATATTTATGATTATTATACAACAAATATATTTATACAGTATATTCTGTTTTCAATATTAATATATATATATATATATACATAGAATTTATTATTATTACTTTAGTAACTATTTATTTATACTGTATTTATTAAAATTTATATAATTTATTTTATTTACCATAATATGTCTATTATTAAATAATTAGAGATAAAATTCAATAAACAAATTAAAATTAGTTTATAAATGATATACAGTTTATTTATATATATACTGTATATAATTCATATATGTATTTATTAATATGTATACAATATAACCACTATAACATTAATGAATTTCAACTATTACTGATATATATATATATATATATTAATATAAACAATATATACTGTATATATAATGTATTTTTATTTAGATGTATATATTGTATATCATATATAGGCATTGCTAAGAAATATATGGTAATACATATTCATTGGGTCAGAAAATCAATAATTAACATTATACTGAACTCTACAATAGATACTGTACTGTATTTACAGTATATGATAGAAAAATAAGGAAACGTTAGATAAATATACTGTATATTACTGTATATATATATATACAATAATTTTATGTATACCACATACAATAACACTGTATATTGTATATAAAATTGAAAGATAGAGTTAATGAATATATAGTACACACATATAWATATAAAGATACATAAAAGTAAACATAAATGTATTTTTATAATATCCAATGTTAATTGGAAATTTTTTGTTATATATATATATATATAAAACAACAATAACATAGTATAGTAGATAGAGCACCGGGATGACAGCGATAAATTGAATGCCATCACATTACATAAGATAGTTAAAAATAAATAAATATATATTTTTTGTGTATAAACAGTATAGAATTTATTTAATATATTTATTTTTGTTATCACATATATTATTCTAGCATATAATAGTTTATTTTAAATATATTAAACATATAATTTATTTACTGTATAAATATATAGTATATTTTTAAAATTTATTAAATTTTTTAAAAATATATATATTCGTGCTATTTGTTTGTATAAAAATCAATCAATATATTATATATTTATATATAATTATTTTATATTTAATAATTTCTAATTCCTAGTATTTTTTTATCTTAATTTTTTTCTATAATGGCTTTTCATCGTGTCTTTTAAAAAACTAATAATAATATTTAACTGCATATGGATTCACACACACATTCACATACATACACACTTACCCACTCATCATCATAATATCGATATAATCTTATATATATATAAATATATATATATATATATATATATAGACGACAACTGCCTTAATATACGATTCTGTGACCCTCTTTGCCAAAGCTGTCGATGACTTTGAGCGCTCGCAACAGCAATCAATATCATCGTCGATGCAATCAATGCCAACAGTGCCGATGGTTGGGTGCGAGAGCCGCGATCCCTGGCCTTATGGGACATCGCTTATCAACTTTATGAAAGCCGTAAGTGTTTTGTTCGTGTTTTGCTATCTCTCTCTCTCTCTCTCTCTCTTTCTTTCTCTTTATCTATCAGACTGTCTGTATATCAAAAATACTACACACACTTACCATAAGTTATCGGTACTCTCACTCCTACCTAACCTCCCTTTCCTTTCTCTCTCTCTCTCTCTCTCTCTCTCTCTCTCTCTTGTATTTTCATCATTTATTCCTTACAATACTGAGTACAGCAACACAATCATCCCTTTCCTCTACATTTCTCTCTCTCTCTCTCTCTCTCTCTCTCTCTCTATTTCTTTCTCCATATTATAGATATCTTTACCCATAATAATGTGTCTAATATACAGTACATATACACAAAGTTCATGCTATCAGTCACTGCTATACTGATAGTCATTATTAATCGTTAGTTTCATTCAATTTATTTATTGAATCTCTTATTACTGTTAATATATGTTATTATTATTTTCTATATTCTGTATAAACTGTATATATATATATAATATATAAATTTATATTCTGTATATTTATTTCAATGATTTTTTTTGCTGTTATATATAGTTTTTTGATATTATGTTTCTCTCACTTAATATTTTTGGACAAATTTTTTTTTTGCTTATTTTTGTTTTATCTAATAGGACATATTTTATTTTGTCATTATTATTATTATTATTATTTTATTGTTGTTGTTGTTGCTGTTTTCAATTGTATTTCAAATGTAATTGATTGCGACAAAAGCATTAATGGCTGCAAAAAAAAAATTATGATAATAATAATAATGATAAAACAACAAAAAACAAACAAAATAAATGAGAAACTTATACATTGAATTAAATTTAGTTATAATTAACACTATTATTATTATTATTGTGGATAAACATTATTAATCATTAGAAATACAGTTTTTTTATAGTWTAGAAGTTTTATATGAAATAWATATATATATATATATAGTATATAATATATTTGATAATTTATATAATGTACATKTATACTGTATTTAATAATATGTGATTGATAATAGTTTAGTTTGTAATAAATATTTTTCTTACTATATATAATATATATTATTATTATATATATATAATACAATGTTGTTATGCCATATAATTTATTATGATATAATAATTAATATATAAAGATTTTTTTATTTGGCTATAATTTATATAAAAATAAAGTTTTAAAAAAAATTATATTTAGTTAATCTGTTTTTTTACATATATATAAAACATGTGTAAGTTTTTGTAAAAATTAAATTTTGCATAAATAATATTTGACTGATATTTTTTCTTTAAATTTTAATATAATAATAATCAGTTTATTACATGTTTTATTATTATTATAATAGTACTGTAAAATTATATTTAAAAAAACMAAATATGAATATTTCTTGTAATTTAAAATTTATAGCCTTTTAGTTTGTATKTAAAATATTTATTTATTTATTTATTTATACCTCAATTTTGCCATTTTTATAATAAATATTATTTGCATACAAGTCATTGCAAAAATTGAGTTCTCAATTTTTTTTGTGGATAATAACATAATAATATATAATATATGTATTAATACATTATTTTGTTAGAAAACATAGAGAGAGAGAGAGAGAGAGAGAGAGAGAGAGAGAGAGAGAGAGAGAGAGAGAGCTAAATATTTGCAAACAGTTTCTCATTTGTTTCACATTAGATTTTTATGGGAGGGGGGGAGAAAGTTTAATATGAAAATTTTATACATAAAATACATATACAATATATATATATACTGTRTATATAYATACAAGTATATGGCATGAGTGATGAATAACTATATATATATAGATTTTTTTGTAGAAAATTATTTTTAAACAAAATCTAAAAGTTATGAATAAATTGCATATATTATAGACTATACAGTATATCAGAACATAAATAGATTATATTATATTATATACAAAAAATAAAATACAATATAAAAATTTGCTTTTCATATATAGTATATACTATATATATATATATACTGTAAATCTCTCTCTCTCTCTCTCTCTCTCTCTATATATATATATATGTTTTTATATAGCAAATTGTAAAAAACAATCCATTATTTAGTGTATGTATGCTATGTTATGATACCCCACATTATTAATAACAACAACAACAAAAATATTGAGAAATACATTATAGAAATATTAGTTTAAATTAATTATAGTACACACACACAAAAAGTTTGTAATTTTTTTTATTATTAAGTTATGCATTAGCTATTATAAGATTATTATTATTATTACAACACAATTGTATATTATGTTAATGTCTAACACACACAAACAAAATTATTATATTTTTTACAAGTTTTTAAGTTAATTTGTTTTTAGTTTTTTTTGTCAGAGAAATTAAATTTCACATAAGTTTTGAAAGATTTTATTTAGTCTTTTTCTAAACACTACATATAATATAAATATCTAGTGTTATATTTATCACAAAWATATATATATATACTGGGAATTTAGGTTTAAGGGTTGCCAACAAAATATAATTGAATCAATTTTTTTTTTAAAAAAACTATAATAAAAATTTTTGATATTCGTCCAAAAATTTTAGTTATTATAAAAATAATATTTAGTATATATATTTTTTTGTGTCAATTGGTATACAAGCATAAACTTAATAATTTACAGTATATTGAATATATATATAGTATTGTTTTTAACTCTCTCTCTCTCTCTCTTTCTCTCTAGTAGTAGTAGTAGTAGTAGTAGTAGTAGTAGTAGTAGTAGTAGTAGTAGTAGTAGTAGTAGTAGTAGTAGTAGTAGTAGTAGTAGTAGTAGTAGTAGTAGTATTTACATGTATTTATTATGATAATATTTTTTAATAGTTATAAAAAAATATATCAACTAATTGTATACATTATATACATTATATTATAGAGTAAATAACAAACAAAAAATAATTTTACATTTATYATCTAAATATCTACAATATGTTACAATACATTATAAATATGCTTATCTTATGAAAAATATTAAAAGCTTTATATGTTATGTATTTTATATTGATTTTACTTATAATACACAATAGTATACTATATTTATTGTTAAGTGCAATTGTTATTTTCATTATTATTATTATTATTATTATCGTTTCAATTGTTTATAATACATCAGTGATGCTATTGTTTATAATACTGTAATTATTTTATATTAACCATTATTGAACGGTACTTCAGATATATTATAATATACTAAATAATATAATATTTATATTAATAAATATAAATATATATGTATCATATTATATATTATAAACACAAAMATATTTATATGCATTATTTGAAGTTATTATAAGTGCTATTATTGTTGTTGTTGTAATGATAATAACAATAATAACACTTTAATAGTAATAATAATAATAAAAATACTGTATTAGTAGTTATAATGATAATACTTCTAATGCAATGAATTGTTAAACAAAATTACAATATTTTTTTAAAGTATCGATTGAATATATATACTGTACATTATGTCTACAGTATATTATTGATAAAAATTTTAGTCAATGATCTGTTTTGCAAAAAAAATATTCTGTGATATATATATATGTGAATATAGTTTGATAAGACATTGTTTTATATGATTTGTCTACCAATACTMTCTCTCTCTCTCTCTCTCTCTCTCTCTCTCTCTCTCTCTCTCTCTCTCTCTCTCTCATTCACTTAGTCATCCGTTTGGATCATCTMATGCTTGTACTCAATAGAGAGAGAGAGAGAGAGAGAGAGAGAGAGAGAGAGAGAGAGAGAGAGAGAGAGAGAGAGAGAGAGAGTAAGTGTTGGTTTTTTATATAAAAATAGACATCGATTTCAATAAAATAAAATAAAAAAAAATATTTTTATATATAAATATTTCTTACAAATTTAACTCAAAAAAAATTCATTCAATACATAAAAGAAATATTTCCAATTTTATAAGTTATATATAATATATATATTCTTTTTATTATTATTTTTTTTGAGTTTAATATTTGAATGCAAAAATTTATAATTTTTATGATTTACCAAAAAAAATAATATAACAAATTTTGAAGTTTATTTTTGTTGGCATTGCAAAAATGAATTATTGAATATATTTTATATATATATATATATATATATATATATATATTTACATTACATAGATTATAACATACATACAAACTATAACTATATATATATATACAGTATTTTTGTATGTATGTTATAATCTATGTAATGTAAATTATTTATTATAACATTTTATTAATATATAATTATCCATATTTATTTTATTAAACAATTTTTATTTATTTAATTTATTATTAATATACATAGTTGTTGAAATTATCATTTATTTTAAAAATTATTTAAATATATTATTATTATACATTTTATCAATGAATGAAACATTTAATAAAAATAATAATTATACCAAATTAAAAAACAAATTATTTAAAGTAATATATTATTTGTTTAATTAATATTTTTGTTGTTTCTATTGATAAATAAAAATAGTTTTTATTTCTATTGTTGTTGAGTGGAGACAAACATCTCAACAAATACAATGTATTGTACAATATATTGTACTTTAATATATATCCTACTATTTATAGGTACAATCTTTTTAAAAATACTACTGTCCTTAATATATATATATATATACTGTATATATATACTCTATATGTAATAGTCTATCGGATTAACKGCTAATATATAGCCATAACGTGTAGTCAATATATATTTGTTTAACTTTGCTATTACTTTATTATTTATAAAACATTATATATATATATATTGATAAATGTTTTATAAGACAGTGTGTGTGTGTGTGTGTGTATRAGTGAGAGTRTATAAATGATACGTTTTTWAAAAAAAAATTATAAAAAATTTTCCGGCTTTTAAACAATGTATGTCTGGGTTTTTTTTTTGTTATCGATTTAATATTTTTTTTGGGCAATACTTTTCCAGAGATGATATCTCGTATAAACTTTATATATATAAAACGTATATATACTTAAACCTGTCTTCAATTGATATAATATACAGACATCGATATCATTGACTAAAACGAAATGTTAGAGAATATTGTAAGTGAGTTACTGAATGAGTGCGTGAGTGGGTGAGTGTGTGTGTGTTGAGAGAGAGAGAGAGAGAGAGAGAGAGAGAGAGAGAGAGAGTATTATGTATGTACTGATAGTAAAGACCGATCAAAGGATGCGTGAAAGTGATGGCTAATGGATGTGATGTGAAATTGTATGACTCAATGGATCTAAAATTATTATTATTATTACTTATATATATAGTTTTGTATGTGATATTTCTTGTCATTGACTTTCACTAATAATATTACGTTTTCTCTCTTTCTTTCTTTTTTTCTTTCTTTTTCATCTCTAATCAAAAATCTCCAAATAAGTTGACAAAAATCTTAGTTAAGAGAGAATAGAGAGAGTGAGTGAGTGAGTGAGAGAGAGAGAGAGAGAGAGTTATAGAGAGAGAGAGAGAGAGAGAGAGAGTTATAGAGAGAGAGAGAGAGAGAGAGAGAGAGAGAGAGAGAGAGAGTTATATATATATATATATATATATATATATATAGAGAGAGAGAGAGCAGAGGTTTTTGGCAATTCTTGTGTCATATTTTGTGTGACATTATATTGTCTGCCAATTCTCCAGACAGGCGTTTAAACACTCGGATAGAAAAGACTCTTATATTTGAGTTAAAACTTCATTGACATTCAAGTCATGGCTATATAACATATATATTATATATAAATATATATATATATATATATCTGTGCAGCAGATTGTATAGAGAAATGGGATGTATAGAGAGTACGAGTGAAAAATAGTGAGTGAGTGAGAAAAAGAGAGTAAGAGAGAGAGAGAGAGAGAGAGAGAGAGAGAGAGAGAGAGAGAGAGAGAGAGAGATACTAATATGTTTAAAGATATATAGCATACTGTAAACTGTATAACTATAAGATAAGGGAGACGACAACAACAACAACAACAAAAATTATATCAATAATTTGCTGGCATTTAAGTAGGCGATGCCAATGCTTTACTAAGCAAAACAAAAAATAATATATATATATATGGATATATAAAACAAAGTAAAAAATAAATAAATAACTAAATTTACCAGATATTTGCCCGTTCATTGAGCGCACAGTTAGCTTAGTTATCTACTAGACTTGAGAAATATATATATATATACAGTATATAAGTGCTACCCTATCCACAAAAATACTTAACTATTGTTAGTTATATACAGTTTATTTCAAATCTAATTGATTGGCTCATAATTTTTTTTTGTTTTGTTTCATATGAATCATATATAATATATATAATATTATTTGCTTGGATTTAACGCTAACATGATTTTGCCTTAGTTTACAAAAAAAATTGTTAGACTATTTTATTCTGTATATATATAGAGTATATACTATATATGTTTTTTGTTTAGTAATTATTTATATATATATATATCTATATCTAGGACAGGGAGATGCTATTAGTACGGGTATTATTTTTTATGAGTTTCCGGTTGTAGTATTAAATTATGTAATTATTTTAAATAGTTGTGTTAAACAGTTTTGTTGTTGTTGTTGAAAATTTCATAAATACTGTATTTACTGTATAATAAAATTTATTATATAATATAATAACAATAAATATAATTTATGAGATTTAATAAATTATACATTTATGTATATTTTATATAACAATTATTTTTTAATATATATATATATAATATAAGAGTTATACAAGTTATATAGTAGTAATGAATATGTTTTAAATAAATTTAATAAATATTTTATGATTTATATATATAAATATAAAAACATATACAGTATTATAAACTACTAGTAATACTAAAAAATATGTTATTGTATAAGATTTTACTATTAATTTACATTTTCATGACAATATAATAACTGTTTAAATTATTATTATCATTTTATTAAAATAGTTTTGTATAATATTTTTGAAGTTTATTAATAATTTAATATTCTACTATTTGATTTGCATAAAAATAATTAATTTTTAATTTATAAATATTTTTAAAATATTTTATGCTTTCAATATATATATATATATACAACAATGCAACTTATAAATTAATAATTATATATAATATATTTATTTAGTAAATTATGTTTTTATATTAAAAAAATAAGTAAAAATTAGATGAAGTTATTTTAAAAATTGATTTTGTCTCATTAATAATTTATTATTATATTTATATATTTTTGACTCTAATGTCTAATGAATTTGAATTGAAAATAATAATAATAATCTATACATATATAAGTCATGTATAGTATTTTATACCATATTATACATAAAACTTTTTTTTTGCCATCAACTCTATGAATAAATAATTGATTTTTATTATTATTTTTCATTTTATTTTGTATATAATTTTAAAATTTATTCTAAATGACAGTATTTTTGTTTTATTTTATTTTATTTTTGTTTTTTAAAAATTTGTTTCAAACAAATCTTAATGGTGTCTCAGATATACTTAATTTTAAATAGAAATAAAACAAAATAATATTATATACAAAAAATATATATATAAAAATACTATTTTATTGATTAAAAGTTTTGTTGACGAGAAAATTATATATAAGTTTTTTATATTCTATAAAATTATGACTACTTTGCATAATTTTTTGCTGTATATATATAGATATATATATATATATGTAATATATATTCAAATATAATATATTATACTTGATATGAATTATATAAAAATATATTTATTTTTTTGAATAAAACTAAAAACGAAATTTAATACATATCTATACATATCTATATATATCTATATTTATTTATATCTTTTAAATAAAATTTATTTATTTTTTTATCATAAACTGTGAATACTATACTACAGTATAGAAGTATTTTACATTAGCTATACTATTAAAATATTAGTGTATATTAAATTAAATATTGTATATAAATATGCAAAATTTGGTAAATAATTTTTAGCGCAATGTTTTTTATTTGAATTTTGAATATGTTTTGCATAACTTTATCATCAAAATTGGCTCTCATTTTCATATATCAAATAAAATGCAAAACATAGTGATAAACTTCGATAGAGAGAGAGAGAGAGAGAGAGAGAGAGAGAGGAAGAGAGAGAGAGAGAGAGAGAGAATTATACTAAAAGATTTTTTTGTTGAGTAAATCAAATCTAAACACCAGATTTTATAAAACCTATTTTCATAATCATTGAACTCTCAGATGATTTTGTAGAAAAAAACATTAGTTGTAAATATAAATATATATATATATATTGAAAAAAATGTTTTCTAAATCTATATCAAATATATGCATACATAGTGTACATTATATGCATTTTAGTTTAATATTAAACTCTCTCTCTCTCTCTCTCTCTTATTTTTAAAAAAATATATATATAAGTAATATATATATAAATACAATTTAAACTATATATATTCAATATAATAATATAAAAACAATATATCCATACAGTAGTATATCAAAATGTTTACACAAAATATTTTATACAAACAAAATATTATTATTATTTTTTGGTGTTGCGATTTTCCATCATATTATAGGAATTTTATTTTACTAGATATTTGTTAAATTACATTATAATACATGTGATATGTTTGACACATTATTATTTTTCAAAAAAAGTCATTTTCACACACATATATAGTATATGAATATATTTATTGATATATAGTATATACAGTATATATATATATATATATATATATATATATATTTATATATATAAATGTTATCATTTTTCTACAGTAGTGAATGTTTGAGAAATTATATACTAAATACTATGCGAAACATTGCTTTACATTATTATTACTATAAATATCAAAAGATTATAAAAATAGTCTATAAATCTATGATATTATAGGAAATAAATTGATTTCAATAATATATATATATATATATATATATATATACTGTAATTCATATAAATTTCTCCATAAAACTAAAAACTCGATTTCATTTTAATAGATCATAAGTCTTAAAAATATATAGAAATTGTCTGAAATTTTATTATAATTTTTTTTTATATTTTTGATTATCTTGTCTAACAAAATGCTTTTAATAATTTTTTTTATATATATCTTATTTTCATCGGCAACAACAACAACAACAAAACTGTATGTTTTTAAGTCTAATGTCGTGGGACTGAGTGGACCATTGAAATTGGATAGGAATGGCCAACGAAGCGACTTCACGCTCGACGTACTGGAGCTCAAAAAGACCGGCTTTGAAGTGGTAAGTGATATATCTATTACTTTAATATATAAATCTAAAAAAATATATATATATAATACAGTATCTATAATATTATGTTTAAAAAAAGTAGATATATTAATATCTCTTACATATTATTAGTTTTAAGGGGAAAAAACTGTACTTTTTTTTTATTGATGTACCGAACAGTTAGAAAATACAACAACAAAAAAATTGAATTTTCAAAAATCATTATAAAATTTTTTTTATCATTATTAGTATTTTACTGATATTAATAATAAATTATATGTAACTGTTGTGTTGTTGTCGTTGAATTGACACAAGTTTTTTTTGTTGGTTTAGTTTTTTTTTGCTGCTTTTACATTTCCATAAAAAAGTACAATTTGTATTGTATGAAAAATTTATTATAATTTACTCAACATTTTTTTTATATATAAAAATTTATGCCTCAAATTGTTATCATTAAGTGTTATATCTATTTTTATAACAATAATAACAATTATAATTATAATTATTATTATCATTTGAAATGTAAAAAATTCATGATTTAAGCGAATTGTGATCTCTCTTTCTCTCTCTCTTTCTCTCTCTCTTCTCTCTCTCTCTCTCTCTCTCTCTCTCTCTCTCTCTCTCTCTCTCTCTCTCTCTCTCAATGTGCGACTACATGACTATTACATTACAATTAAAGATTAAAAAAACACTAATTAGTGTCGAGTTTTTTCTGAGAGCWGATATATATATATATTTCCAGAATATTCTGTAATATAGTATATAATATCTCATTAAATTCTTAATGCTTATAAATTTAATAGGATATATATATATAAGAAAATAGTATATTATTTGGTATAATAATTAATTTACTGTAAAACTCTCTCTTTTTATATATATATCTATCTATATTTTCATGACTTTTACTTTATTATTGTATTAAAAGGTTAATAAAGTATATAATTATATTAAATGACTGTCTCGACAGTATATTTAGTAAATAAAATTTTAATTTGACTTTATTTTTATTTATTTTTTTGGTTAACTTTTATTATGTGTTATTTATTTAATCATTTTTCTCAATATTTTTATTTATTAGTTTTCTATTGATAATTATTAAGATTTATCTATATATATATATATTTTGCAATTAATAAATAAATTTTTCATTATTAAATTATAATAAATGATAAATGTAATGAAAAAAATTATTAATAATATTTTAAGATTTTGATATAAAAAACTTTTTTTTTAATTCTATATGTAATTAAAATAAAAATTTCTAGCATTTATTAGTCTTCAAACTAATTTGAATAATTATAGTAAAATTTTTGTCCAATTTTATTAATTATGTAAATATTAAATGTACATTATCTTATATATATATATATATATGTTTTTTAATGATAGATCGTATATATATATATATATATATATATATATAAAACTAAAATATTCAAAAAATAATTTTTATCTAAGATTACTAATTAAATTAATTAGTTATTCATATGAATCAAATTAAATAATCATAATTTTCATAAAATTTACATAAATTTTACTATAATTTTTTATAAGTTAAAATTAAATATTGTAATTAGTTTTAATATTTTTAAAACTATATTTTTATTAGTGTAAGTTAAGATTTTAAAATATATTTTTTAGCAGACATTGCATAAATTAAAAAATTATAATAAATTTTTTAAAAATTTATTTATAAAAATATATATAWAWATATATATATAAATATATATACAAATATATAATGAAATTATGTTTTAAATAATTTTAACTTTATATAATTGAAAATAAATTATTACTTTTACGACTTTCAAAACAAATAAATATTTGAAACAAACAGTTGATCTATAAATAAATTTTGACAGATATTTAATGTCAACAATAATTGAATTTTTTTAAAAAAATCTAAATGCTTACTAAAATTTACATAAAAAATATTAAATAAATTTATTTAATTGATAATTAATTTGTTGTAAAGTTTAAGTAAAATATTTATCAATTAATAAAATTGTTTTCAAAAAATATTTACTTAAAAATTATTTTATATTTTTTAAGTTTTGCAATTAAAATTAATTACTTTTTATCATATTAATGATAACAATAATTACATAATAATTTCCCGTAATATATATATAATAAGTGTTTATAATTTTATTTTTCCCATTTTTATTATTGTTGTTTTGTTGATAAAATTTAATTAAAAATTGCATATTTAATAGTAAATATTGTAATTAGTTTAATAGTTTAGACATATTTTTCTTGAAATTTTTATTAAAATTATTTGGTTAGAGTGGCGTTTAAATTAATATTTCATAATAAAAAAAATAATATGAATAATAATATAATGATTTTAATCTCAATTTTAGATTATAATTACAAATAAACTTTTAGTATTTTTTTTAATCTTAAATAAAAATATTTAATATACTTTACTTTATTAATTAAAATTGATTTTGTTGTACAGATATAGTACTGTTGATATTAAAATTAAAATCAATCATTTGTTATCAATGATAATGTAATTTTGATGTTCGCTATTATTATTAAATTTTTAATATATATATATTTATATAAATATTTACGATAAAGTTTAAGTAATATTGCGATAAAATTGCGATACATTTAATTTTTGTCACTTAATTTATTATAGAGTATTGTATATATTGCAATATACAGTAAATATACTGTATATAAGTTATTATAATTTTTTTTTTAATAATATTAAAAGCAAAATATAATAATAATATAGCAATATATAAGTATACTATATGTTTATTTTTATATAATAATAATAATAATAATAATACTCAGATACAGTATATTAGAAAATAAACAGTTTATATATATATATATATTATATATATAGTAAACACTAATTTATCTGTATTAAATAATCATTAAATGGTTTATATATATATTTTTTTTATACAATAGACTACATGTATAAGCTTAATATACTACTGTATATACTATATATTATATGATAGTTTTTAACAACAACAACAACAAAAAACTATAATGATAATTTACTGATTTTTAAAGTTTTGTTTTTTATTATTATTATTATTATTTTTAAAGCGACTAGTTTAATTTAAGCTTGGATTTAATAAATATAGCAAACAAACACATAAATTAATGAAAAATAAAATAAAATTATAGAAAAAACTAAATCAAATTAAATACATATAATAATAACCAGTTGAGTGCACACAATTTGGGGTTATTTTTTGAAAAGTTTTTATTTTCAGTAAACATTAAACAAATAAATTAAAGTAAATGCTTATATGTTATATAATAGTATATGTTACGTACATACAGTAATTGTATGGTTTATATATCTGTAAAAATTATATTATAAAAAGTATATAAAGAATATATATATATATTTAATTTTTGTATATACAGTATCCATATATTGGGTATATATATATATATATATAGTTATTAATTTTATTGTATTATAGACTTAAAATGTTTCCACATTAATATAGTTGTCTATTGAAAAAAAATTGTACTAATATTTTGTGTGTGAGATTTTGTTGTAGTTTATTGTATGTACTGTATGTGTGTATGTGTTGTTGTTGTTGTTGTTATGTAATAATAAAGATTTCATCTTTCCTATTGAAAGGAGTATTAAATATATATATATATATATATATTATATTTATATCTATTAATATATATATATATATATATATATATACAGTATTATATATATATAAGAAAAATAAATAAGTCGGAAATTTTTTGGTAAATCTTAATGTCTAGTAATAAGTGTAGAAATATGTTACACTGAATTGTATGCTACATATAATTTTTATTATAAAATAATAATAATCACAATAAATACAATGCTTTTTTTGATTAAAAGACTCTCTCTCTCTCTCTCTCTCATTGAATGTGATTTTCTTTTGGAAACATATTTTTCAGACAGCAATATAACATACAGAATATTCTTGACTGTTATGAGTGTATATATATGTAATAAATAAATGAAATATATAGATATATTTTTTTGCTATTGTTGTTGTTATATTCAGACAATTATTCTATAAATAAGACATATTTTATATATGAAATAAAATTGTTATTAACTAAATATTATATACTGTATATACAGATATTTACTTTGTATGTTACGCTATATTTTGTTGTTGTTAAGTATTGCTGTATTATATAGTTTGTTATGAGTGAATAATTTTTGGTGTTTTTTAAATGTAATTTAATTTTGTTTATTATTTCATCAAAATAGATATATAACATAAAAAAACATTATATTTACTTATATATATATATAACAATAATAATTTAGTATTTACTGCAATATTGTCTGCAAAATGTGTAATAAAACACAAGCAAATTGGTTGCATTAAAAATATTTTTGCGGTTATTATATTATATAATAATACTATATATATAGATAAATTTATATACTTAATAAAAAACTATGTTATTAAAAAATAAATAAATTTTTATTATCATATAATAAACATATTAAAAAAAACTAAGCATCGTATTTAACTAGCATAATGTAATTTGATTTAATATTGCTAACAAACTAATAATATAATATAAACCATAGACAATATACAGTACTGTATATATAAAACATATAAAATATATATTTTGATTTTATTATATAACAACATATTTTATGTTTTATGCGGTATATACTGTATTTATTTATATATAAATAAAGCTCATTATAAATATAGTTATATTATTGTTGTTATTATACAACAACAACAACAACAAAAATTTGTTGGTATTTGTAAGTAGATGTTTAAATTACTGTTGAATTTATTTTTAGTGCACGAAAATTTTTTTTTAACAAAAATTATATTATTCATAAAAATTGAATTTCTACTCTTATTTTGCATATACAGTATATATATATTAAAATAATATACTGTATATATATATATATATATATATATATATATATATATATATATATATATATATATATATAGTACTGTAGTGCTACTGTATGTCAAATATTTACAGTTTTA